AACCTCCCACTGCTTTGGCGTAACACTGGTGTGCCAATACTCCTGACAATGTGCAATTTGGACTGGATTGGGGAACATACTCTGTGGATTTCCTGTGCACCATGGGAAAGACTGGGGTCAGTATTTGGGAGGTACTTTGCCCCCATCTCTCTGAACCAATGAGGGATGAGAGAATAGGACATGCAAATCAACAAAGTTACAGTTACAGACACCAGCAATTCATGTTAGCAGCGCTTTGCAATAGAGACTTGCACTTCCTGAAAGCCAGCGGTGGCTGGTCCATTCAGACAAATTGGGCACTGCTCCACCAACCTCAGTCAGCCCCAGCTGCCTTCTACTTGCCTGCCTTCTTTCTTAAATCCGGTCCAGGGGGCAGTCCCTGCTATCAGCATCCTCCTCCTTTGTCTCAGCACTGCCATTGTAGAGGAAGATAAGGACCAAACTAGCACGAGTAATACAACCTCTGCTTTCTGCCCCCTGGTTCTAAGGGCACCAACCGCCGCTGTCCGAACCCCAAAGCAAAAGGGCAGGCTTGCTAGACCCTGCATTGTCTTCTTGATCCAAAGATTTTCCCAGCCTGGCCAGCCACTGATACAGTGCTATATTGCTTCTTCCTTTGCTCCACAGCCAGCCTTCATGGCATTATTTTTACATCTATTTGAGACTTTGGAGCAGCAAACCTGAGCAGCAGATCTAGTAAACCTCTGAATACCAGTCACTGTCGGATTATATTTTGCAGTTAATTCACGATTAATGACATAATTACCGAGCAATTCCAGGCAACATATAATTTTAGAATTTATTTGTTCTTTAACAGATTATTCTAACCCTCACAGCCTTTAAATAGTGAGACATGGGTTCCCTGTCAAGCAATCACCATCTCTGTGTGTGTGTGTGTGTGTGTGTGTGTTTCCCTCTCTCTCTCTCATTTCACTGTTAAGGAAATACCGTCTTTTTCGCTCTATAAGACGCACCAGACCACAAGACGCACCTAGTTTTTGGAGGAGGAAAACAAGAAAAAAAATATTCTGAATCTCAGAAGCCAGAACAGCAAGAGGGATCGCTGCGCAGTGAAAGCAGCAATCCCTCTTGCTGTTCTGGCTTCTGGGATAGCTGCGCAGCCTGCATTCGCTCCATAAGACGCACACACATTTCCCCTTACTTTTTAGGAGGGGAAAAGTGAGTCTTATAGAGCAAAAAATACTGTATTCCTTGGGCTTGAGGCTACAGCTATAAAATACCCTGCCATCTCTTCCAGTGCAGCCTCATTGTCACTCGACAGAAGTCTTTGCTTAAAAACAAAGCAGCTTTGGGGTTAAGTCAGGGTAAAATAGATAGTGCACCATGAGAAATTAGGATGAGGACAAGGCCCAGGCACAAAGCAAGTCAAGATCCAGAAAAAGGAATGAGGAAAGCACAGCAGGGATTCAACATTTAAAGGCATCCCCAAAGAGCCTGAACACTAACAACAAGAGCACATGCAGAGATCCAGTGATGGTAAAAGCAGAGCTCATTCTTATTTGATCAAGGATTGGTGGGAACTGATGCCAGACATGGGGGAAGTGCAAGGGGCACACTGGGTGTAAAGGCAGGATAAAAATTGTGGTGGTGATGGTAACTATGACGATAATGTCTAAAGCAGCATGCTATATTTGGAGTTGAACGGTTTCCTGGAAGAAGGTTGGTTTCATAATATACTGTGCACATGGCTAAAACAAACATGACAAAGTCAGTCATAGGCAGTAAAAATATATAAAGCAAAAAGATGTACACTGGACTATGTAAAAATTAGCATTTTAACATACCCTGCAAGCGTCCCGGGGGAAAATGGGGAATGCAGTTATCTCACACAAGAGCACGGTGACCACTTTGGGTGTGGTGATCTCATGTGATTTTGCACCGAGATCTCACCCAGAAAAAGTACTCCCCCCCCCCCGAAAAAAGTGCTTTTCCGAGGCTGCAATATCACACAGTGCCCTAAAATGTGTCGTTTTGAGTACATGCAAGCATGGCTCCCCCCAATAATGCATCTTTTGGGTTCCATGATCTCACTCTAGTCATGTGGCTCATGCAAGAGCACAGGTAAGAAGATGCGTGTCTCGGTTTTGGGACTCAAGTTGTTGGAGGGTATGTTTTAAAATCTAAGCTGTTTGGGTTTAAAACTGAAACCAGAAGATGTGTCTTTCTGGCAAGTTTTGTTTGTGTGATGTCTTCCAGCTATCACTTATCCTGGAGATCACTTGATCTTGGGTCTCTCTGGAAACTGCCACTGATTTATCACTGCTACTTCTCTTTCTCTAGGGAATTCCCTCTCTAGACACCTTCTGTAGCTTCCTTGTGATCTGCAACACGCACATTCATCTCACCATTGGGTCACTTCCAATGCAGGAATGCTGTGAAGGCAATCTTTGGGTGTCAACACCTTCCTAAAATAAGAGAGTGGGTGTGATCCCCAAGGGTTCCGCCCAAGTGAAGTGTCAGTTCTCTGTTCAATTAAACGCTTCTCTCTCCTTTCGTTAAAGGACTAATGGGCAATCTTGCTTGCCTATTTATTCATGTTGCCATCAATCTGTCATGCTCTGTTTGCTACATTGGGTAAGCTCCTCTTGCTTTTTGATGCTTTCGCAGTCTGGAACAGCTCCCATAGCCAACATCTCCTACACACTTCTTCAGCATTGCTCACTTGTGTGGGGCTGCAAATTGGCCCATCTGCAAACACGGTGACTGTAGCTTGGTAGCAATTGACAGAATTGCAACTGGGCCTTTTCAAGCCTCCATGCTCAAGAGAATTCTTTCTGCATAGCTCTGTTAATCATGGATGTGCATCATCATCATCATTTTATTATTTATACCCCACCCATCTGACTGGGTTTCCCCAGCCACTCTGAGCAGCTTCCAGCATATACAGTGATATGAATATATCACTATATACTATACATCCCTTCCTGTGAAAGTTAGTTCAGGTACATGGATCTGTCCTACCCTTCTGTCTTCATTTAGCTTCCCTGCAATCTCCCCAGCCCCATAACACACCTTGGATACCCTTGTCACCCAAAGGCCCAATTGCCTTCCTAGCTTGTCTCCTATTACTAATATATGAAAAGATTTGGTGGTGGTGGTCTTAATATTTTAGCAATGTGCTTCTCAAATTCTTCCCCCTTTCTTTTCTTTTTTTATTGTCTGTTAGTATTTCTTTTGGCAAAGTCTGCGGTCTTCTTTGTTCTCGTTTTGACAAGACTTCCATTTTCTGAAGGAAGCCTTCTTGCCCATGACAGCTTCCTTGACTGTGCTCATAATCCATGCTGGCATATTCTTGGCCCTGATGGCAGCAAGCATTTTTAACCTGTTTCTGGTCAGGAATGTTGGTCCCAATTTCCAGCAGGTGGCTTAGAAGTAACCACCTCTGCCACTACATTCTTCTGCCCTAAACTTCAGTTACTAGACCTTGGGGCAAAAGAAAGAGGAGGCAGTTAGTGATTGAGCCCAGGCTGGTACTTACGAAGATATGGGTTCATTTCTCCTGCCCTAGAGCAAGCACTCCAACAACAGTGCTGATAAACGCACAGTCATTTTGCCCTACTATCACCAAATTTGACTTTTTAGCTGGGACAGAGAAATCAGAACGCCAGTTACTGAGAGGACTATTTCATTTCTGCTTCAAGGTTCCAAAATGAGTGAGGCTAGATGTGACTTTATAAAATCTGCATGAAAATTAATGCAGATAGCATTCTTTCTGACTACTGTTGCTTGTAGTGTGGGTGAACAGATAAAGCAGAAGAGGCAGATTGCATTGTTGAGTTGGAGAGTTAGTGAAAGACACTCGACTGTGATTTATAGCCTTTCAAACACTGTTTATGCACACCTTCTGTTTATATTTGGCTTTAGGGGCATTCATATGCTAAAGCGAGTTGTCACGCTGATAAGGATGGCTTGTATTTGAACTAACTTGAACTAAGATTTCCGGGCCAATAGCTGTGTGTTTAAATGTGTGTGTTTATATCTGCCTATCACCATATTGATTTGTAGGCTGTTGGTGGATTATTGTCATTGTCTTGTTGGGCTTTGTATGTGATAAAGGGGAGCCATACCGGGGTACACTTACTTCTGTAAAACAATAAAATCCTTAATAATAATAATAATAAAAATATCTGCCTATCACAGTATAATTTCAATAGCTGTGTGTTTATATCTGCCTACGACAGTATAATTTCAAAATTTGGTAGATGTTGATGTTCTTCAACAAATTTTAACCAGAGTGAAGTTCACCACCCCTCAGGGGATCAACCTTAAATAAAAGTCTTAGAGAAGAAGTGTGTGAAAACTGTTAGTTGGTGTTTGTTAACAGTTGTTCAAGAATATTCTCATTGAGAATGTCTTCCATACAAAAGAATATAGAGATGCATGACATTTTTAAACTCTTCACAGTTTCGTGCTCGCTTCGGCAGCACATATACACAGTTTGAAGCAATGTCCTCTTCAAAATTATCAACATGGAGGGGTGTTATCCCTGAAAGAATCAAAACCGTCAGTCAGTAGTTCAAATATTATAAATGTTGTTCTGTAGTTTCATGGCCCATTGGAAGATAAGAGAACCAGCTGCAAAGCAGGAGCCCACTGTGAAGAAAAATAGATGATGGCCATGGAAGAACATGATGAATGAATAGGTACTCAAAGACCTACAGTGAACTGTCAGCCTAGAGTGTCCAGGGTTGCATCACTTCAGTGAGTTTCTTCATGCACGTAACAGGGAGAGGTCAATGACGGGACAGACTAGAAATTTATTTAATAGCTGTTGCCTTCTTTGGTGGTGCCATTTTGTCTGGAGTACAGCAATGCAACTGGTGGTTGCTAGGCAGTCATAAGAAATGTTTCTCCAGGCCCATCAAAATGGCTGAAACTTATGCCAAGAGCATGTGCGTGTGTATTGCCTACTTAATGTTTTCGCGTTGCCCCTGGAGGGAGCCCATTCAAGACCTATAATTCTCCTTGGCTTGGGGCACTTGTGTCACAAAGAAAGGGGAGGTCAGGCTGTAAATCACTGAGCTGTCTCAGAAAAAATGAAGTACTACATGTTCAAATCATAGCTCACCTTGCAGGCTATTATTGTATTAACATTATTATGCCAGACTCACTGCCTCAAAAATCGAAACATGTGGAATTTCCCAACAGGGTGGTGGTACTGCAGTAAATTGTTCCAATACAAGTCACTGTGTGTGATCAGTTCTATGTTTTGTCACACAGGACTTCATCAGTCCATGAAACAAGGCTAAACAGAGATCTAGGTATAATATATATATATAATAATAACTGAGTTATTATTGCTCTTCCTTTATAAAGCTTGAGCTACACTACAACTTTTTCATAAGGTACTGATTTTCTATGTATATGAAGTTCTTTTTAATATTCAAAATATAATTCATATTCAGAAATTTGATCTACCTCCCCTGAAAACCTTGGGATGCGGGAGAAATTTGGTTTCGTGAGCATTGAAATGAGAAAGTGCTTAATCCACATTTTTTTGAACCAATACAAGAACTGAAATACAATTATCCTCCGAACTTTGCCCTTCTCCAAATTTGGCTATGCAATTTGCCAGCCAAACAGTGTGTACAAAAAAAGCGTATATTAGGGGAAAGTTTGCATAAAAACACATACATGGAACTAGCGCACAGAAATGTAGAAAACTGAATTTAGAAAGGGGGAAGAGAGAAAGAAAGATTTCTCCATCCCTACTGTGCTCTGCAGTACTGCACTCCAGGATGGCCTTGGAGCAAGGAAGCTTGGCCCAAAAAGAGCATCCCCAAATGGGCAAACCAGTGGACACCATGTGGAGGGTGATTGTTAAACAGACAGGAGTAATCCCACTGGAATGCATGGCCTTTTATGCACACGGAGGGGGCAAGATGTAGAACATAGCAGGCTTGCTCATCCCTGGGGACTTTCGCTTACTCACATTCTCCAGAAGCCATTCTTAATTACACTGTGCTCCTTTTGTACGAGAAGTGTTGAGTGCTTTATAAACATTAATTAATTTGTGCAGCCTCCCCACAAGACAGGTTAAAATTATGGTGGGTGGTGAAATGGAGACAAAGCAACTTGCCTGGTGTAAAGTAGAAATAAAGTCAAAGAAAGAGATTTAGAAGTTTGCCCCGTGCTTTCAATCAGGTTTCAAGGGGGGTGGGCGCTATTTACTCCAGCCAGATGGTTATTATTATCAATATTATTTATTACATTTGTATATTGCCCTTAGCCGAAGATCACAGAGTGGTTCACAACATAATAAATACAAAATGAAAACACAAAATACATAATAAAACAAAAGCAAACCTTTTACTCTTAGGAGGATGTGTCTGCCCCAGTTCAGGATACAAATTCAGGATACAGCACAAAATAAGAAAATAGGTATAGCTGGAAGGTATTGTAAGTGGAAACAGTCCCTTCTAGATAGGGGTGAGGGATTAAATTCAACTCATATTTAAAGGCAAATGTAGCAAAATCGCACCTAACAAAACAACAGAACTGAAACAGGGGGATCCTTCAAAATTTGCACTTCTCTGAATTTTGCGATGCAGTTCTCCAGCCAACTGACATTTTTAAAATGTGGAAAAACATGCATTAAAATGAACATATTGGTGAAAATAACAAAGTGCATTTCATTAGGGAACATTTCTTACAAAAATGTATCAAAGCAACATACAGAAAGCTGTATAGAGCACCACACTAAAATTCTGTTGGATTTTCATGAGGAGTTTTAAAAAAAAATTTTTTTACAGATTTAGGGCGGTGCAGACTGTTACCCCGCACAGGGCACTGAGCCAAGGGGCCCAAAACAATAATAATAATTTCTGCAAATAAATTGTAATAAATTATTTGCAAATAATAAATTGCAAATAATGTGAAGTTTCAGTGAGCCTGTTGAGAAGATCCATTTAAAAAGCAACTGTACCAAAAGGAATTACTGTGGAAATAAGATGTATCGGATATTTTCTTCGCTCAGGGTACCATATTACCAAAGTCCATCCCTGGTGGCAGCTGGTTCTTGCCAACTCTCGTTGATTGTTTAGCAGCTGGAGTGATTAGACCATAGCTGTCAACTTTTCCCTTTTCTTGCAAGGAATCCTATTCGGAATAAGGGAATTTCCCTTTAAAAAAGGGAAACATTGACAGCTATCGATTAGACCCAGAACCTCTTGCATGCAGATTGTGTGTTCTGCTACCAAACTATGGGTCCTCCCCATTGGTACAAACCAGTGAAGGTTTGTACCAGGAGGACAAGTAGTTCACAGGCTCAACACATGTATTGCATGAAGACGGTCTCAGATTCAGCCCCTAGTAACTCCAGTGTTAAAAAGATGAAGAATTGGGCAGCAGGTGATAGAGAGATGTCTCCCTGGGACCCCAGAGTCTTGCTACCAGTCAGAGCACATCGCATTGAGATGGGGCCACCAGGTGAGCTTGAGCAAGTCACCACCTCTCAGATTCTGTTAGAAGCACTTTTATGAGCAGCCTGCCCACACATCCAAGAGAGAAATACAATGATTTTATTGTGCCAGTACTCACCCTAACTGCTCACACAAGCAGGTTTATTTCCACCAAGTGGATTGTCAGAACCAGCTATCATTCTAGCCTACCTCACAGGGTTGTCATGAGGATAATTTTAAAGCCCTTTGTGCACTGGGGAAAATGCTATAGATTACTCTTAACCAGAAGGGACGCGGGTGGTGCTGTGGGTTAAACCACAGAGCCTAGGACTTGCTGATCAGAAGGTCAGCAGTTCGAATCCCCGTGACGGGGTGAGCTCCCCTTTCTCGATCCCTGCTCCTGCCCACCTAGCAGTTCAAAAGCACATCAGAGTGCAAGTAGATAAATAGGTACTGCTCCGGCGGGAAGGTAAACGGCGTTTCCGTGCGCTGCTCTGATTTGCCAGAAGCAGCTTAGTCATGCTGGCCACATGACCCGGAAGCTGTACGCCAGCTCCCTCGGCCAATAAAGCGAGATGAGCGCCGCAAACCCAGAGTCAGTCACGACTGGACCTAATGGTCAGGGGTCCCTTTACCTTAGTACTACTACTACTACTCCTGCTCTGACCTAGTTTCCAAATTGTGTTAAATGAGCTTGTTCCTCCAAAGCTTGCCCTTTGAGGTAGGCACCATCCAGACCCCTGGAGTCTGGGACAGTAAAGCAAGTAAAGCAAGATGAGCGCTGCAACCCCAGAGCCGGTCACGCCAGGACCTAAAGGTCAGGGGTCCCTTTACCTTTTTACTCTTAACCAGGGGTCGGCAACCTAAGGTCCATGGGCCACAAGCAGCCCACAGCGTCATTTAAACGGCCCACGAGCCGCCCCCGAACTGAGCCGCCCGCTCGGCAAGTCCCCGCATGCTGCGCTAAACCGGCACAGCACGGCACGGGGATTCGCTTTCGCGACGCCGGAAATCGCGTCTGCGCAGATGCCGAAAACTGCGGCTGCGTGCAGGATCTGGCACACAAAGGGATCTCTGCTGGAGTGAACCGGCCCAGGCAAGGTAAACCTTGCTGACCCCTGCTCTTAACAATAGCTGTATGAATGCTAAGAAATAAAGCTGGAGTATAGAGGTTTGTGGAAGGAGACTAACATCTTTAGCAATTTCACAAACTCTCTCTCTCTCTCTCTCTCTCTCTCTCACACACACACACACACACACACACACACATACGCACAGCTATACTTCTGTAGTTCCACATTTTGAAAAATTGACCATTCTACAATGCGTTGTCTAGCAATCATAAAACATTATTTAAAGCTAGTGCAGAAAGGAATCTTGATCTGGAGCAATTATAAGAAATGGATGTCCTCTGCAGTCTTGTGCTTAAAAAAAAACCTGACAGTCTAATTACTATGAACCAAAGAGAACCTAATAGGTCTTCCCACACAATGTAGTTTGCTTCGTGGTGGTTCATCATTGCTCTCAGTTTTAAAGGTATCTTGCCATGGGAGAACCTTCCTAGGGAGCTCTCCAAGGAGTGTTGCATGGCCTAGAGCTCCCTCTAAAGGCTGTAAACAGAATTGCATATTAAGGTCTGAGAGTGCGTTTCACATTTTGAATACAGTTCTGCTTCCGAGTTTTTATAGTTCTCATTTGGACCGTAGAATCGTAGAATTGGAAGTGACTCTGAGAGTCATCTAGTCCAACCACCTGCTATGTAGGAACTTCAGCTAAAGCATCCATGACAGGTGACCATCCAGTCTCTGCTTAAAAACCTCCAGGGGAGGAGAGTCCACCACAGGGGTCAGCAAACTTTTTCAGCAGGGGGCCGGTCCACTGTCCCTCAGACCTTGTGGGGAGCCAGACTATGTTTTGAAAAGAAAGAAAAAAGAACGAATTCCTATGCCCCACAAATAACCCAGAGATGCATTTTAAATAAAAGGGAACATTCTACTCATGTAAAAACATGCTGATTCCCGGACCGTCCTCAGGTTGGATTTAGAAGGCGATTGGGCTGGATCGGGGCCCCGGGCCTTAGCTTGCCTACCCCTGGCCCACTACCTCTTGTGGGAGACTGTTCCACTGTCAAACAGCTCTTCCCGTCAGAAAGTTCTTCCTGATGTTTTCTTTGTACACTTGCAGGCGCTAACATCGGGTCCCCACAGATCTCCCATCATGTCACCAATGGGTTCTACGCATTTTCTTAACTTTACTCGTGTTTTAACTTATTAGGTGCACTCTAGAACATTTTAGTGCAGGGTACACCCTAACAAATTTTGGTTTAGATGTTAAATATAAGGGTGTTTTGATTTGTTTCTTCAGTTGTAACTCAGAACTATTTTCTGCCTGGATTATAATGTGTCATGTTGCCAACTGAACAGAAAAATAATAATATTGAAATGCTTTTGGACCCCTGGCCACAGCTTCAGAAATCAGCAGGATAGCTTTCCACACCCCCAGAGATGGAGACAAGCATTATTAACTGTTTATGTGTGCAGATCAAGCTGCCATTATAATCACCTGAGAGGGGCTAATTCAAAAAGTTGGCAGCCTAAACCGTGTAGGGTGTGATTTCTCACTCTCCTGCAGTCTCTGCTCCAAAATAGGCTAAATTGTAATTAAGGTTCTTAAACATGCATTATAGGGGTTTTTTTTAATAAATAAAAGAATCAGTACATTTTGTAAAGCATAAGAGATGACAGCAGATAATAAAGATGTTATGGGGAAAATTTATGTGGTTTAAAGATGGAAATAAAGATGCGATTAAAAAATTAACTTTACAGTGCAAATCCCGTGCAGGTTTCCTCAGAACTAAGACTCTCAGAATTCAATGGGGCTTACTCCCAGGTAAGTATAGGGTTGCAGCATGAATCACAGTACCAAAAAAAAAAAAACCTCTTGTTACAGTGCCAGCAAATGGACTTAAGAAGGCAGGAAGGCTGCAAGGGGTGTGTGTGTGAAAATATGAAGAGACAAGTTTGAGGTGTGTCAGGAATGATCTTCAATTGCAAAGCAGGGCAAGCCAGTTCTTGCTTTTGAAACGATGCCCCTGACACACCCCTTAGCTGTCTCAACAGCAGCCAAACTGAACAGGAGGGGGCTTAAATGCAAGAGTGGCGGTGGTGGGGATACCCCAATCAAATTGCTAAGCATGAAAGATAAAGCAATTAGACAGGGGGAAGTGAGATAGAGGCGAGAAGACTAGCCGTGGGAAAGCAGGGGATTTGGGGGTCCAGTGGAAGGTTTCTGGAGAGTGGTGCAAAAGACTTAGGCAGGAAACTGCATTATACCTTGTCAGACCATTGGCCCAGAACTCAGTGGTGTCTATAAGGATCAGTCCCAGCTCTCCAGCTCTCCAGGGTTTCAGACCATGATTTTCCCCAGTCCTAGCTAGAAATGGCAAGGAACCTGGAACCTTTTGCATGGCGGGCGGCAGGCAGAAGCGATCTAAGGAGCCACACTCTTTCCCCTAAGGGGAGAAAACATTTCCTGGCATGTAAGGCTCTAGGAAAGAAGCAAAGGCCACAACTCCATGGTCACTTACACTGCTCCACATGGGGTTGCCAATACGTATGGGGGAAAGGACCACATTTGGCTTGCTCATGTGCCTTTCACGCCAGCCTAATTGCAGGAATCAGCAAGTGGAAATTTTCACATCCTGCACAACATTTCCCAGCTGAACATCAAGTTGCTGTAGAACAGTTGCAGTGGTTGAAAAAATGGCTACACAAATGGCAGGCCAAGGGCCGAACTGGCCTCATATTGTAGATTTTGTTGGAGGAGATGGTCTCTTTTCTTTGGTTCCAGACCTCTCTGGAAAAATGCTTCCCCTCATGAGAACTGTTGACTACTAGTTTTAACCTTCCTGACTGACTGAAGTCTCTACAACAGGCCTCCCTGACCTGGTGCCCAACTCCCATCCCTCTCTCTCAACCAGTATGGCCAGTGGTCAGGAATGATGGGAGTTGCATGTTGGAAGAAGCCTGCTCTACACCACCCCAACAGTTACCCATTTTTTAAAACGCAAGAATACTGCTTCTCTCCTGCCAAGGCTATGGGGAGCAGTCAGAGCAAAGTGAACCTGACAAATTTCTGGAGGTCCAGTGGGCAGAGCTGTGAAGAATCTGGAATTCACTAGCTTTTCCAGACCCCAGTATTGGTGACCGGACAAATCATGGTTGTACTGGTCAGATGAGTAAGATACTAGCTGCTTGCTAACAGCAATGTCCACTGATCTCAAATAATCAACAAATAGTTAAATGGCAACCAGCTATTAGTGGGCTCATTTCCCACACAACATGATTCTGTGCATATTTTCTTGGGAGTTAGGTCCAAATAACAGAGGTAACTTGCAGGGAGACAGGTGGACATCAAGGGTGGGGGGGTTACTGCTCTTCCTCCCCGACTCCAAGCAGCAGCCGATGAAGCATGAGCCAACAGTGTGACGCAGCAGCTAAAAAAGCCAATGCAATTCTGGGCTGCATCAATAGGAGTATAGCATCTAGATCAAGGGAAGTAATAGTGCCACTGTATTCTGCTCTGGTCAGACCTCACCTGGAGTACTGTGTCCAGTTCTGGGCACCACAGTTCAAGAAGGACACTGACAAACTGGAACGTGTCCAGAGGAGGGCAACCAAAATGGTCAAAGGCCTGGAAACGATGCCTTATGAGGAACGGCTAAGGGAGCTGGGCATGTTTAGCCTGGAGAAGAGGAGGTTAAGGGGTGATATGATAGCCATGTTCAAATATATAAAAGGATGTCACATAGAGGAGGGAGAAAGGTTGTTTTCTGCTGCTCCAGAGAAGCGGACACGGAGCAATGGATCCAAACTACAAGAAAGAAGATTCCACCTAAACATTAGGAAGAACTTCCTGACAGTAAGAGCTGTTTGACAGTGGAATTTGCTGCCAAGGAGTGTGGTGGAGTCTCCTTCTTTGGAGGTCTTTAAGCAGAGGCTTGACAACCATATGTCAGGAGTGCTCTGATGGTGTTTCCTGCTTGGCAGGGGGTTGGACCCGATGGCCCTTGTGGTCTCTTCCAACTCTATGATTCTATGATTCTATGATTCTAAGCAGAGTGTATGTGTCGGGGGTGGGGGGTTCTCACAACTTAGATTTTCAGCAGCCCATTTCCAGGCAGTTGCGCTTTTGTCTCTCTGGCTATTGCTATTGGTGGAGGGCTAAGTAACAACATCAGTACCAGGGTTATTTGGTGGATGGGCAAGGTGAAAAAAAGATCACGAGCAGGCGAGCTTCGTCTGCTGCGAGCATTTCTGCAGGCAAGGCAGCTCAGGGGTGGGACGTGAATTCCTGGTGTTTTCTTTTGCAGAGATTTACTACTGGGTGTGGAACAGGCAGCTGCCAAGTGAGCATCTCCTCACATCAGGTGAGTGGGAACGAGAAAGCTGGGTTCACACCACACCCAGACGCTGCCATCGCTCTCAAAGCAGGCCAAGCAGCTTGGCCCTTGTCCCCGCCAATCATCAAGGGTTCCCAGGGCCGCCTTTCCTTATTTGGGTGTGATGTAGAGGGAAGCTGCTTCAGCTGTTGAGGCTGGAGTATCAGCAGGCCATTTCTGCATAAGCAGAATACCTTGTAAAGAGGGCATTCCCTGCCCCATACGCCTGGGAACAAACAGTACTCATGGTGCAAAACCCTCTTTCAACATGGCCCAGTGGGAAATGGTCCAGCATTCCAAATCATCACAGCAAACATAGATAAGCAGGGCTGGAGATTAAGGGCCCTTCCAGATGGCATTGCTTGGCCGCACTGAATGTGCAGCCCTTACCAAGGTGTTTGGGGAGGGTTCAGGTGTGTCTCCCCACCCACAGCCCCTGAGAAGAGCGCATTTCACCTCCACTCAGGCTGCCGTGCAGGTGGGGAGATGCAGGTACCCCACTCCATGCAACTGCAAGTTGAGTCTTAGACCTAGTGTCCTAGATGGCAACACTTGAGTTGTGCCTGCAGCCCCACTGCAACAGGAGATCAAGGCCCTCTCTCCTCTACCAGCACC